ATTTTGTATTGCAGTACAATGTGATTTTTAAAAAAATGCATTTTTTTTTCTAGGTGAATGGATAGATAAATTTCTACTAGTTAATATATGTGTATTTGTGGGGGAAGATGTTTATGGTAGATATAAAGAAGTAGAATTGGCTTGTAGCTTATGTGTGTTTTAAGATACATTACTAAATTGTACTTAAAAGTGGCTGTACCAGTTTTTTACCCCACCAGCATTATATGAGAATATCTATTTGCCTACGAGTAAGACAAAACTTTTTAGTAAGTAGCTTTTTTTGACAGTTGAATAGATGAACTATCAGTGTCCCATTGCATTGCTCTTAGTTCTCTTAGTAGAAGCAATTTTTTATTCAGTTATTGGCTACTTGAGTGTCATCTCATGTGAATTGCCTTTTTATTTACTCCCCTGTTTTTTAGCAGATTGTTAATCTTTTTCTTTCCCATATTTTAGAGTTATCTGTAGCTTCATTTTACTATTATCCTACTTAACATAATAATGTTGGTTAGGAGGTCAGACTGTAGCATTAAGTAGTAAGCACTTGTTCCAGCATTTGTTTATATAAAAATAGTCTTACAAGGTTTTCCCTGTTATAATAGTGATTGTATGTTTATTAAAAAAAAAAAATCTTTAGGAAATCGAGATACTCCAGAAGGAGAAAATGAAAATTACTTTTAATGTCATCACCCAGATACAGTACCATTAATATCGTAGTGTGTATCCCTCTAATCTTTTTTCCCCTCTGCATACCATTTATTAAATTTCTTTCCCTTTTTTACCTCTGCACACCATTTATTAGATTTCTTTTCCCATGAATTTGTGACTTTATTTTTAACATGTGCTGATTTTTTGAAATGGGAGAATCTGTTTTTGAGCTGTTCTTACCACGGTTTTTATTCATCTGTGTGGTGATGTGACTGTTTCATTTAAATTGATGAAGCTTTATGATACACTGTGCTCTCTGCAGAGCCAGCCCTCCTCCACCCATCAGTGCTTTCCTGGAGGCTACATCAGGTAGCCTGATGACACTTGTGTGTCATTCTGAGTTGTGAACTGTGACTGCAGACTCTGCTACATTTAAAATGCATTAAAAATTTGAACAGAAAAGGACTCAGCATAAAACAACTTTTTGTTTTGGAGTCATTTTTCCTGTAACAAATGAGATCAGATCTACAAATGTCTGCTGTAGATTCTGGAGAAAGATCCTGAAGTTATTAGTGAGCAACTCTGGGAAATGGAAATTGATTGCCCTTTTCCCATTTTTAATTTAATGTGTGTAAAATACTCTTAATAGCTTTTCTTGATTCTTCTGTTCTTCCTTCCTTTCAGGAGCCTTTCATAGGTTCACTCAAGAGTTCTAACCCCTAATTCTTTTTTTCTCGTAAGGCCTTAGATTCCTCACTCCCCCCCCACCCCCAATCTCCATCCAAGGGCTTTTAGGATCCTGACTCTAGATGTTGAAGAGTGAACTACTGCATGGGAGACGAGGGCAAATTTCCTAAAATTCCCACCTGTAGCTCTGAAAATGAGGAAATAAGGCGTATCAATATTGCAAGTGGGGGTGCCTGGGTGGCTCAGTCAGTTGGGTGTCTGACTCTTATTTCAGCTCAGGTCATGATCTCAGAATCCTAAGATTGAGCCCAGTGGCAGGCTCTATGCCCAGCAGGGAGTCTGCTTAGAGATCCTTTCTCTGCCACTCCCTCTGTGCACCCCCCACCCCCGGTGAGCCCATGCACATGCACACATACACACTTTCTCTCTATATATAAAATAATAAATAAATATTTTTAAAAATACTGCAAATGATCTTCCACAACCCTGAGGTCATTGTCTTCAGTCCAGTCCTTTTGCATCTCTTCCTATTGGTCAGTGGGGCACTGGGACTCTCTTGCCCTGACTCACCAGAGTGGACCATTAACTTTCCAGAAATTTTGCAAGCTGGTTGTTAAATAGTCATTATTAAAAATTAAATTACATAAACTTATAATTTATTATATTAAAACACCAAAGATAATCCTCAAAACTCACCACTTCTTCATTATTCTACTGCATTTTACTATTATTTATGCTGTTGAGATTGTTTGTGCCTATTGCATCTGTAGGTAGAAATGCTACCTACTCATGTCCTACTGTGCATCTTTGCTCAACTCTGTTCAGTGGCTTCTCTTGGTAGCTTTAAATTGGTTATGATGTCAGTATTTACACCACTAACATTGGAAAACACTACACATAACAGGGTTTGATTTGTTGTCTTGTTGAGTGTGCTGGAGAAAATGTTAATAATGCAGGCTAAGCTAAATTTAAAAGTGTATCATTTCAATAGCCTTAACATTCTGAAGAGTCCTCCAAGTTAAGTAAATATTCCTCCAGTATTTGAAAAAGATTATTTGATTCAGCAAAGAATTTCCTTACATCATTGACTAGCAAATGGCATTCCCACAAAAATCTTTGTTAATTTTCCTCTTACTCCTAATGTAAATAAAAATACCAGCCAACATTCACACCAGGAACTATACTCACTCATCAGTCACAATACTGGGTTAGCTTTGGACGTAAGAATTTGCCAAAAATCACCTACAGCATTCTTTGGGAATTAATTACATACATACAGTTTATAATAAAGAATACAGTATATTTCATTATCATTTTGTAAACTGTATGATAAACATCAGCAAAATTTGTAATAAATTTATGTACATATGTATCCAGGTACTTTTTTTTTTTTGAGAGCTGGTGGTGAAACTTTTCAGCACACCATTGATCAGAGGTGACTAATGTCCAGCCCCAAGCTTAAGGGGACCACTGACACACAGCGTTCCTGAAGTCAACAAACAAACAAAGAGGCAAAATAGTGTGCCAACATTTACAAATTGTGAGATTTCACACAAAAACCTGAAATTCCTAATTTTTCTGAAGGATGGAATCTGGCCCCATTGTATCCTCCCACAGAGACATTCAGCTAGAACTGAGCTGTTGTGGACCTTTCAGGTGGGGTATATACTCTCAGTTTGCCACTATTCCCACTGCCTCCTGCTGCCCCCCACCCCAACCTTCACCCTCCACTGAGCATTGAGTGCCATTTTCCCCCATGTATGTTCTGTGGATTTTTCTCTGTTCCTTATTTATCCTCTGTCAGTGCAACCTGAACCACTTTTCCAGGCCAGAAATAAATCAGGCAAGCTTGATTTATTACTAAATTAACTTTCCTTGTCTATTGATTTAAGTCCCATTGTTCTATAATTATTTCTTACAAGAATCACTTACAACATCTGTGAAAGGGCTTTGAAACTATTCAAAGCCACCAAATGGAAGATAATTCATCTTAAGGTACTCATAATTTCTAAATCATTTAATTTTGTACTTTATTAACAAAAATCCATTAAAATTCAGTTTTTTGTATTTTCAGTAACTAATGTTAGTAAATATATTTATTTTTTGTCCTTTCACTTATATTCTTTTTGCTTTCCTTTTTCCAAATCCTTTTTTTTCCCCTTGTCTTTTTCTCTCACTTTAAACTTACCTCTCAAATACAGTATCAGTAATGAGGTTATTGCATTATTCTATTAAAAGTCATACTTTGGTCTTAATTTTGGCCTGATTTAAACACTGACATTATGGACTCATGCTAATTAGCCTGAATGGCCAAATCCCTCACCAATTAAGCAAATGTCGATATTTCAGGTTATTTCAGTTACCCTATGTTAAGGGTAAGAGAAAAATGTGTTGATTGTGATCTGAAATCATCAACCCCAAGACATCCTGTTATTTTATAATAAAATTCTTTCTTACCATTATGACATTATAAATGCAATTATGTTTCTAGTTCCTTGCACTCTAAGTTTGGTCATTTGTATCATAACTGCCATGGATTCTTTACCTCGTATCTCAGTGGTAAATTGAGTCTGTGAAGAAAATTTTTCTTGGTACACTGAGATCAGTTTCCTTTTTATTTTTTTTAATATGTTGCCTTGGTTCCTTTTGTTGTAATACCTCAGACCACTTTGTGTGAATCATGTCATATAACGTGTCTTAACTTTACAGTTAACATCCGAATGGACTGACCCCTAAAAGTTCTTTGGTTAATTTTCTTTTAGTCATATGCGCATCTTTTCCCATAAGAATAACATTATAAATGATTATTAGATTCCCAGGCTAGCCCCTGGTGGTGTTAAATGCAGTTCTAATGGTATTAATCCAAATTCTTATTTCTGGAGCAGGAGGAGGAAGGGGAGGGAGAGGATGAGGAAAATGGGAGAAGAAAGGTGAAGTGGTACGGTGGGGACAAAGAAGTAGTCAAAGAAAAGAATGAAGAAAAGGGATATAAGAGAGAAACTCCCTGCGTTTAGGCCTTGCTCTAAGCAAAATTTTGAGATATATGTCATTGATTTTTGTGTCCTCTGGTTTTCATTTCTGTATCACATTCCTCTAAGCTTAACGCTCTCATTTGGTCCTAAGGTCCCACCCCAACCTGACCTGTTCCACTCTTAAAACTCCCCTTTCTCAGCACATACATGCTTGGCAAGTGTCGGTCTAAGAGATTTTTGGAAAATATGTTGGAAAATATGAGTCTAGGAGAACCTAATCATTGTGTGGAACTCACAGTCCCAAAGCCTCTGAAATCTATCCTTCCCTTCTTAGGGGAATTCCAGTCACTGTAACAAAATGAAGCAGAATAAAAGGAAGGCAGTGTTTTGAAGGAAGATGTCTTCCTTGGTGGTCATCCCCGGTGCTCAGTTCCACTAAGCAGTCCTTAGTGTGTATTGCTTTCTCCATATCTGATCTGACATTTCCCCACAGACCCCCAGGAGCACAGACCCAGCTGCTCTCAAGACCTTCTGGACACAGATCATTTTGTTTGTTTAGTTGGTTTTGGGTTTTTTGAGTTTTTGTTCCTTTTCTGTTTTTTGAAATCACTCCCATGGTTGAGCAAAGAGTAGAGCAGAGAGGGCTGGTATATGTGTGGCTCTGGGGTGAATGGTGAATGTGGTCACCTGGGCAGACAGGTGAAGTTGTAGGTAAGGATGCCCATGGCCTTGTTCCCAGCTTCCTTGTTCCAGCTTCCAGCTTGCCAAAGTTCCTGATGGTTGGCCTCTGTTACAACGTTAGTAAATGAATGTGATGACATAGCTTTCATTGCTTAAAATTGGGAAGGTTTCAAAGTAAGAAAAGTAAGGAAAATTGTTGGCAATGCTGGCAACATTTTCAATACTGTATGCTTTTAATGATGATTTCCTGTTGAAAAGAGCCAGATCTAAGAAGGAGATGTACATACATGTTTGCCAACCTCTGGGGAACCACACGGGCTGCTCTCTGGGTTCCCTTTCCCCACCGTTGAGCATGAGCAAGCTCTGCTCTGGTGATAGGCACTTGGCCTGGGTGTTGACACGAAGCCTCTTCAGACCACAGATAGCGAGGTAGTCGGTGGGCAGAGTGTTGGTGCCGCACAGAGAAAGCTTCAGGTCCCGGACCAGTGTGAAGTTCAACAGGAGGCCCAGGGCCGATGCATCTGTGAACCAGATGGTCAAATGGTCACTGTAGCTGGTTTGCTCGAGGGCTAAAGGCAGGACGGTTCTACAGCTGCACATCAAGTTGGCCAGACTGTAGTCACAGTCCTGGACATCTGCAGGGCAGCTGCAGTTCCGGATGGTGTTTTCCTTGGTGAAAATCAGCGTGCTGTTCTTCTGCCCTCCCGTGAAGCAGTGGAGAACAAAGATGCCCAGCACGCCGGCCAGAAGGACCCTGTGCCCAGGAGGTGGTGCCATTCTGATCTCAGCGTGTGCCACCAAGCGTGTGTTTCCCCTTTGTGAGCCAGTTCACTGGAACTCACCTGAAAGGAAAATATGCAGCTTGGTTATCACAGGCTCTCTTTAAAAATATACAGCTTACAGGGAGCCTGGCCAGCTCAGTCGGTAGAGCCCGGGACACTTGATCTCGGGCTCCTGAGTTTGAGCCCCACGTTGGGTGCTGAGATGACTTAAGGGATATGCAGCTGATAGAAAAGAAGCCCCTGAGATAACCCATGGTAACCTCTTCTCTCTCGTAGTTCTATCAAAGGCAGGCAATGCATGGAGCCCAAGTGCAGACACTATCTTTTCTCAGAGCCTCGTGAGAGACAGCAGTCAATCTGTTCATCTGAGACATAAGACTCCCTGTGATGTCTGTTGACAGACTAACACACCAACAGCGAGCAAGACAGGGTGCCCAAGATGAGACCCCGGCTCACCCTGCTGTCCGTGGGCAGGGATCTGTGGTGCTTTGACTGTGCACATTTTCCAAACATCGTCTTTCTTGGACTGAGTACCTGGTGGCCCCTGGAAGATGCACATTCCCTCCTCCCCCTCAATATCGGACTTCCTGGAATTCAGGAGACAAACACTTCGGTGTTGGATTCAGCTCCCCAAGTGCTACCTGTTAAACAACATAGCATGAATACCAGTGAAACATTTAGTTAATGATAAACTTTAATTTCTAACTAGACAAACATGCCCCCCCTCATATTAATCTGTTTATAGATCCATTGATACATTCCTGCTCTCCTACAAATGTAAGATTTAGAGTAGATTTTAACTGTGTTCATAGACAGTGAAAACGCTAATCACACACCAATTAATCACAACAAACGTGCTTATCTGCTCCTTCCCCGGAACAAATGTTATAAACAGATTTTATCAAATAGCTTAGTGTAGGGCTCCAAAACGAAGCAATATATCAGCAGCGATCAATGATCTAAATAAGGTAGGAGCATATGCATGGTTTAAGGAGCAATGCCAATGTGCGATCTGGAGGAAAATGCCCTAGTACCTGGCATATAATAGATGCATGGTCTTCTTTTACGGTGAGCTTGGAATGAGACACACGTTATGAAGTAGGGTGCCAGGTTTTCAGTCTTGCAAAAATAATTTCCCCTGAGTTAGCTGACAGCTGACCAAAAGATGTAGGACCAAAGATACCATTCAGTTCTTCTGAACTGACCAACGAGACAATTCCGTTCATTTGCATGTACAAAGCACCGTGGGCATGGTAAAATACTTGGAATGAGATCTCTGACTTAGAGAGTCCACGACAAGTGACAGGACCCCCACAGGAAGTGCTGAGCAGGGATACACGGGTCAGTCTGAAAGGCTGAATATGTGACAGCCGGAAAGAAGCAAGGCAGACATGCACCACTTAGGGTGCAAGTTGAGGCCACAAGGTGGCAAAGCAAGGCAAAGGGAAGTTCAAGAGGGCAAAGCTGGAAATGCCGGGGTCAGGTGGAAGACGGAGAGCACAAGTTCATCAGCTGATGGCTGGAGTGCAGGGAGACTCACCCAAAGCTCAACCAATAAACCTGAATAGAAGGTAAGACATTAGTTCACAGCCATCACACTTCATTCATTCAGCAAATGTTTACTGGGCATTCATGGGGTGGCAGGCACTTTGCTAGCCCTGGGGACATAGCCCAGAAGACAACAAGCTTCTAGAACTTGTGTTCAAAAGGACTTGATTCTGCTTCCAGGCATACCTATGAGGACCATGGGGGCCATAGCAGTGGGGAGGGAGAGAAAGCAAAGGCAGGACTTTGGGGCCATGTACCAAGGTCAAGCAGAAGAAATAAAGATGAACAAGACGTACCCTTGCCCTCCAAGAGCTTATAAGCAGAAGTGGAGGACAAATGAGGCTGAACTGAGAAAGACCCTATTGAACATACCAGTGGTTATAGGAACATAGCAGAGAGATAGGTTAAAGTCCATTTGGGGATCTGAATAAGGTGCTTTATAGTGTTTTGTGTTTATTTTGAAGTTGGCACAAGCTTTTCTGAAAGAGTGTATTCATTGGCTCATTTTGTAATAAAAGAAAGGTCTTTGAGAAATGCCTAGAGCCAGAATTCTTCCTGAACACAAGATTTAACAGTTTTAAATAGTTTTAAAATGTGGTGGTGACTACCCCAGTTAGTAAGGAGCAGTAACTTATTAATTACAAGATAATTTTAGATGATCAGTTGTCCTAGATTCCACTGGAAGTTTCTAGGTCTTCATGCCCCAGTAACCCTTTCATCCCAGAACTAGGAAAGCTGTCATCAATGCCAATGGCTTGCTCTGATCTCAGCCTGGAGGGGAAAAGAGAGGTGGAAAAGGTTCTACCCATCAGCCTGGAACCTGGTGAGAAAAGTGCCTACTTCATCATTCCAGATGCTGGTACCATTCAGAGACATGCATGGAAGAAGAAAAGAGGTAGGAAGGGAAACGGATGATGATTTCCTGAAATGAGTGGAGCTAGAGATCATTAAAGGGACTTGTGAGCAACCCCCTGTCCGCTGCAGTCAAGGCCCTGGCTGGACCTCAGGGTGACCCCCTCCCTGCTTTTGGATATCAGGGAACTTGAAAGCTGAAACAAGAAGACCTCCCAATAGGGTACAGAGTGGGACAAATATCCCTGGTAATAAGCTTATGGGGTTTCCAAAAAGATGCTGTTGGACATTTTTCTCCTTCGGTTTTATCCTGGGTAAAAAACCACTTGGTTTTTTAGATTTGTTGAATGTGGATTGTGAACACCCGAGTTTCACCATGTGTTTATTCATTTGTGGGCAGATTCCAGCCTGGAATTAGGAGAATGGACACAGATACATCACACTGTCCTTGCCCTTAGCTATGCCCTTGGCTGTCATGGGGAAAGAAACTATTTTTCCTCTGGGGGTTGCTCATCTTGTTAGAAGGGAAATCAGGATCTACTGGTGACCATCTTGTCTCCAGAAGGGGTGAGCTTGCCTGACAATGAAGCCAACACAGAGAAGAACAGGCACGAAATGGAGAGATATTCCTAAAAACCTTTTCGAGCACTGAAATCAAGCTATGCCTGACATCCTTCCTTGATTTTTGAAATATGTGAACCAGGTTTTTTTTGTTGTTGTTTTTCCTACTCAACCAGTCTGAACTGGATTTCTATAACAAGTAATGAAAAGAATACACTGACATTTGGTAAGCTCTCTTTTTTTTATTCATTCAATAAACCTTTGTTGAGTCCTCACTGAGTGCTAGCTGCTGTGCAGGAAACCTAGAAGAAAGCCAATGAGATCTCCCTCAAGGGGTTATTCCCCAGTGAAAGAGACACTTGAATTGATAATCACAGTATGATGTGATAATCACTATAATAACATTTTGTATAGGGTGTTATGTCTACACCTAACTTTGCCTGGAAATGAAAGATAGCATAATAAGCTTCATGGAAGAGGTAGTATCTGAGGAAGGCAGTAGTTCTTGAGTTAAAAAAAAAAAAAAGAAAAAAGTTATCTATGTAATTAGCATAGGGTGATCAGAATTTGGAAAAACCAAAAGTAGTACCGAGAGATTGATGGGCTATGGGGATAGTCATGGGAGAGGGGAGCTGAGGGGTCCTGTAGGGTGGAAAATTCTGACTTGCCCTGACACATCATTTTCTCAGCATCCCAGCTTTTTGTGTGCTCTATCATTAGGATTTGCCTCACATGTCCCAAGGTGATCCCCTTCCCCACCCCCATGATGGGCAGGAGCCTAGCAATGTGACGGGTCTATGCTGTTCTGCTGATGTTGTGCTGGAATTTGCCCACAAATGGAAAACTACATAGTAAAGCTAGAGCAAAGGTTGATTCCTCCCTTATGTTGCAGCATAATGCCATTAAGGAGCCATGGAGGTTGGGAGGGTGTGCTCTGCTCCATGTGGTCATTCAGGGACTCAAGCTTTCCTCCCTAGCTCTATCCTCTCCCAGGCCTTTGGATCCTCTGCAGGATTTTCCATTCACACTTCATTGGCCAGAACTCAGGCATGTGGCACCCCTCTCTGCAAGCAGCTTGGAAATGAAATCCAGCACCATGCCAAAGGAGGAGGGGACAGCCTGCATATTGGTGGGCACTAGAGATTTCTGACATGCCTAAGTTGTAAGACATCATAAATGGCTTTATGCAACCATGATCAACAGGTGGTGTCAATCCACCCAAATTTCTCTGGCAAGATATGGAAAACTATGTATGATCATTAAATCTCTGAGCCTTTAAATAACTGAACATGTTGATAAACCAGGACAATGATTCAGAATCAGTTCTAATATTCATTTTGTATCACCACAGAAGAAATCTCAACAGCAATTAATACCAGCAATTAGCTGCACGAAAGCAAAGAATTCTGAATTGAGCAGATATAGACATCAGTAACTTCAAAACAAATTCCACACGGATTCTTTCTCAATCTAGGATTACACCCAGTGTTTAGATAATGTTTATGCTTGGCTCCAAAAGGAATGTTTCAAAATTCATTAGTTCTGTTTATAAGAAGATATTACTAGTAAGGAAATAGTGTGTCTGTCGGTGGGAGGATACCATTTGGACCATTTGCTCAAAACAGATTTGAAATGTCTTGAATAATGATGTTTTGAACTCTGTAGTCTCAACACAAAAGAGAAAAAATATTATTGTGGAACATCATAGTGGTATTCCCCAATTTAACAGCAATTAAAAACTAAGAGTGATTTCAGATTTTTAATTCAGAAATGGGTTAAATTGAAATTAGAAGGGATCTTTTAATTTCAAAGGTGGAAAGGCACTTAGAGAAAAGACTCAGTTGAAGAAGCTGGGGAAATAAGACCAGACACAAAGGAGATGCTCCAGCAAGAAACAGATGGTCCGAAAGAGAAATCTTAACTGCAGACAGAGGAAGAAAGACAGAAGACAGCCAGGGTCCAGACACCCCAAGAAATCCACTTTGAAGCCAGAACCTGGAGAGCTAGGCTAGGCTCTCTCACAAATGAAGTCCTCAAAGTGTGTTTCTGCAAAACTCCTTGAAGATTCCAAGGGGGCGAAAATGAGAGAAATTCCAGAAAAAGAGACAATTTAGAATTTGGGGTATATCCCACAAACAGAGAGCTACACCTTACTATTGAAGTGTATTTCATCAAAAAGTTTCCCAGTGTTGCTAACCCTGAGAGCAATAGGATGGCCTCACTTACCCCAGGGGTCTAATGGGTTACCCCAGGAACTTGGCATGTACTCTGGGAACAAGCAAGTAGGCAACTAATTATAGGGCAGTGGGCAATGTGATTGGTGGGTGCTTATTAAAGACACAGAGTAAGTGTTGGCCAGAAAGGCCAGGAAAGTCTCCCAAAAGGGGTGTTATTAGGGTCATGCAGAGAATGGGGTGGGGAGAAGGAAAGGGAAAGGCTGCAGATAGAAGGGTCACTTGAGAAAAATCCCAGAGACTAGAGTGCTTGGCACATCTGGGAGCCCATGAGGCTGGAGGGAGGGCAGGGCAGGGGTAGACAGGTAGGCAGGGCAAGGTAGACCCTGAACCTTGCCAGCCAGGCTCAGGGTTTTAGTCTCCAACCTATTGTTGCCGTCCTCCTCTTCCTCCTCCTCCTTCTACCTCTTCTCCCTCTCCCCTTCCTTTTTCCTTTCTTCTTTTTT